AAATGAAGTATAAGAAGTAAAGCCATGCTGTTATGTTGAGCTGCAGGGGACTCAGGTCAACAATTTCTGACACTGTCAGTCAGGCAGAAGACCCAATACTATTATGGATTACTCGACTCTTTTAGAATATTTTGCTGAGTTAACACACCTATAATATCAAATGACGGCACTAAACAAAAAAGGCTATATATAAATGAATGGCCATTTTGTGTCTGTGTATTCAAAATTGTTAGGATAGATATATCATTACATTCTCTTAATGAATAGAGTGATTTGTTCTAATGGTGCTTGTACATAAGATATCAAGTCCACATCTTGTATAGCAATTAACCACTGGGAGGAATGTATGCAATGTGTTATTTATTGAAACTGTCCTACCAATTTGATTGAAACTGTCTCATTGTTATTTATTTCTCAATAAAATTATGGAAAAATATTTTAAAAAATAAAAAAATAAACAGAAATGGAAAAAAAAGGGAAGCGAGATCTTGAGGATTGGACAATGAGGACAGGGCAAAGAGAAAAACTGGAAACATGACAGGGGCAAAGCCATACATTTATATGCACAAGAAGGATAAGGCAATGATCCTGAGAAACATAAACAGATTTTTGAAACTAGCAGTTAATTGATAGGATTCTCACCCTGACTAACTGTATATGCTGATACCTGTGAACCAAGCAACAGCACTGAAGATAGCAATGTATAATAGAAGGGTCATGCTTGGAATGCCTGTCATTCTGGTCTGCTAAATACGTACTTCTTGTCATGACCTACCAATTATTACTATGCTGTCTTTCAAGTAAAAGTGTTTTTTTTTTTAAATAAGGGGTAATAAATGAAAAAAAAGACACAAGAAAAAAAATGTCATAGGACTGTCCTGCTACAATGCCGTATATGGTTAGATTTCTAAATTTCTGTGTAAAAATATGTGTTTATTCCTATTTTTTAAAATTATTTTTTTCCTTCATATTCTGTAAGGACTTAAAATTCAACATATCAGTACTTGATGGAAAATACCTGTTCCATGTTATGCTTAAGATGTTTGATATTTAGGCAGATAGTTAGGGTAAACCAAACTGCATATGTTGCAGGGTAATAATAAGCTTCTCTTCTGGAGGGCTAATAACCTAAGTTTGTAGATAAAAAATTGGAGAAAAGGAAGGGCTGCAAGGTCCACCAACATTTTGGCCCTAGCCTTTCAAGGTCAGTGAAGACTCAGGACATAGGAGAACCTGTACTGTAACATCATGTAACTCAGTTGTGTCCCAAATTTTCTGATCAAGGAGATTATGGGGCTACAGAGGAAAGTGATCGATGATGTAGAGTGTGCCTAAGGAGAGTCATATGGAGAGAAAGCATTCTCTCAGACTTTAACAGCGAGAAAATTGCTCAAGCAATGGCTATGACTCATCCATATACCTGACACTGACAAAGGATCTACAGACTGCAGTACAGGGTTTCAGGATAAATCCTGAAGGGAGTTGACTGACCTTGGAAGATACAAAAGTTACATTTCTTGTTATATAGGTCTTGCTTTATCTTGGTCTTGACCATCCAGCAGAAAAGTATAAAAACAAGGTATAAAAAGTAAGGCAATATTAATATACTGAGCTGTAAAAGGCCCAAGTCAACAACTTCTGACATTGCTAGTCCTACAAATAACCCACTACTCTTATGGACTACTGGACTATTTTGGACTATTTTGCTGAATTCATGCACCTACAATATTTAAATGACAAGGGAATACCCATCTCTAACAAAACTAAACAAAAAAAGGGGATACAAAGGAAGGACCATTTTGTATCTGTATATTCAAAATAG